GGGGGTGTGGAATGCATCTCGCCCTGCAATGTGATAGACTTGGATTTCAGTCTCAACCCTGCAGCTTACTGACTGGGAGACTTCGGACAAGTTTCTTCACCCCTTTAAGCCTCACTGTCTCTCTGTAAAATGGAGCTTCCGCCTACGTCATGGGTTCTAAGGATTGCATGAAGCAATGCTTGCCCCCCAGCCTGCTTTATGTTCCTCCATAGCACATACCACCTTCCTGCTTACCACTTACTTACTTATTGTGTCCTTCTCCCCAAATGAAATATAAGTTCTACAACAGCAGGGATTCCTCTCTGGTCCATTCACCACTGAATTCCTGACACCTGGAGCTGTGTCTGGCCCATAGTAGTTGCTCGATAAATAATTGCTGAATGGATGAATCCATGAGTGAAAAGCACAGTGCTAGACCTGAAGCGTTCGGTGGCAGTGCTCTTACTAATTCCAGCTGGGAGAAAAGCCATCGCCAAGCAGTCTTCCAAGTCAGCGTGGCTGTTCTCAGGGCCTCGTGCCCTTAAGGCCAAAGCTCCTGTTGCGCTTTCCTGCCCATTATTGGAGGATGGGGACCTGACCTTTGCCTGTGCTAGGGACAAGTGAGTCACACACGAAGAGAAACTGGGTGGAGGAGAATCAGCAGCACAGTTCCCAGAACTCCTAGAGAGCGCCCGAGAAACCGGAAGCAGCTGAAACCCTTCTCATGGAAACCAGTCAGGACATCAAAGAGCACTCTAGGGGCCCACAGCTGCAGACTCCGCTTCAAAGGCTGGGATGGACGGTGGAGAGAAACTGTTCTCTGACCAGAACTGATGTCTTAAAATCCCAACCAGCAAAGGTTTGGAAAATGAAAGAAAGAGCAGTGAGTCTGCCGTGCTTTATTAATCTGTGCATTTGCGATGGCAGTGATGATGCTTAAATCTTTCATCTTCAGAGTGCCGTGCACCGTGAGCTCACAGCCAAACGGGACTCAGCCTTGTGTGGCTGATTTATAAGGAATGTGTTATTCTGGTGGAAAAGACTGAAAAGACTCCACTTCCCAATAGCCTGCCGACTTGACACATTCTAAAAGGAAAGTCTGGTATCAAAACATAAATCTAAACAGAAACCAAAATAGCAAACAGCAACATGCATTAAGGGGACCCGTTTATTTGTACCAAAATCAACATTCCCTCAACTCTTTAGCTCCAGGGTATTGTTCTTTGTTGTTGCTGTTCATTTCTTTTTTCCCTTTCATCTTTCAATACATCCTTCCAAGATTCTCGCAGTGTACTTCAGCATCCAGACTCTCTTATGGAAAGCATATGTCTTTGGGAACATACTGCACCACTTGAATTCTGGAGCCAGTTGTACTTCTGTCCCAAGATTAAGTGAGAAACAATAGTTTGTAGGGCTGGTAATTACTCAGCCGGGAAGAACCACACATAAAGCAGAGAGAGTTTCTAAAAGATCTCTAAGAAAAGAAGGGCATCTCCAGTTACCCTGTGGATCTCATTCATTCATTCCTTCATTTATTTTATTCATCCAACATTTGTTGAAAGTTTACCCTGAACTAGGTCTAAGCTCAGAGCCAAAAATACCAAGATAAACATGATCAGTCCCTACCCTCCAGTAGCTTGCTCTAGGAGAGGAGACAGGCAGGTATATCAAGGTAGCAGTCCTGTTTGACAAGGCTAAGGCAGAGCATCTGTCAGATTTGGGTCATGGGGCAGGAGCTGAGAGATGATTAAGAATTTTTTCGAGAAGAGGATGTTTTTTAAAGACAGTAAGCGGGAAGGAGGTAAAGAAGGGAAGGCAAGGGTACTTTACACAGAGGAAACTATTTATGCTATATAAAACAATATGATGCAGATGATACTCAAATTATTTAATAACTGGAACGTCATGGGCACAGACGGGCCAAAACCCACTGGTGTAGTCCCAACCAATGCCTGTGCGCTGCAGATCTTTCCCGCTAATGTGGAAAAATCTCCAGGGTATATAGTTGAGTGAAGCAAGCAAAGAGTGTTTGCAGTCAAGATGGTAGTTACGGTTGATGAGGTAGTGACAGGAGGTGGGCATGAGAGGGGCTCCGGGGTGCTGGCCTTCTGTTTCTTTCTGACCTGGGTGCTGGTCACACAGGTTTGTTTACTTTGTGAAAATAAATTGAGCTGAACACTTGTGATAAAGGTACTTGTCAGTGCGTATGTTCAATAAAGTGTCATATGTTTAACAAAATGTTCAAAAATAAATACCATGCATTCAGGCATGGCTCAAGTATTGTGAATGGCTCCAGCAAATAGTGTGTGTAGGGGAGATGAAAATAGAGGCACAAAGCAAAGCCACATTAGAAGAGCCTTATATACTGAATTAAGGAGTGTGAACTTTATCCTCAGAGCTATGAGACTCTCCAAAGAGAATGTGAGCATGTCATGGAGCTGAGGGGTGTTTAAGAGTGTGGCCTCTGGAGTTTGGCCCCTGGATCCACGATTTAGTCATCCTGTGTAAACTTCAATTTCTTCATCTGCAAAATACACCAATGATTGTGTTTTCCTCCTAAGGATTTTCAAGAATTGAGTAAGATAATGCACAAAAATATTTAGTATACTGCTCACTATATTCAATAATAAATATTTGCATTTTAGAAAGCTTACTCAGGCAGGAATGAGAAAAATGGATGGGGGATGGCCAGACCAGGGAAAGGAGACAAATTAAAAGGCTGTGGCAGTAACCTAATAAAAAAGGAATGAGAGCTAGACCAGAACAGGGACAATGAAAATCAAGGAGAGATCAATAAATTTGAAGGGGCAGAATTAACAGGACTTGATCTGGAAGATGAAAGAGACAGCAAAGTCTAAGATGACTCTCAGGTGACTGTGAAGGTGGTAATGCTGTTAGAAAGTCAAGAGGAGGGATAGACTTGGGGAGAAGATCGTGCATCAAATTTGAAACCCATTGGGTTTAGGGATCCTGGGAGGCATGCAGGTAGGGAATGTCCACACGAACTCAAAAGAGATGTTTGAACTAATGACATAGATTTGAAAAGTATATAGAAGATTATTGAAGGCATATGAGTAGATGAGGTCCTTCAGGGATGATGTATCAAGTGAGAAGAGCAAGGGGCCAAAGATGGAGCCCTAAGTAGCATTGACATTTGAAGGGCAGACCAAGAAAAGGAACCTATGAAGAAATTTCAGAAGAATCCATTGGAAAAGAAGAAGGAACAGCCAAGAAAGTGCTATTGTGGTAGCAAAGAAGGGTGTCGTCAACTGTGATAAATGCCCCAGAAATGGCCAGTGAAATAAAGACAAAGAAGTGTCCATTGACCCCTACAAATGATGGCCATTGGTGAGTTCAATGAAAAGAGTGGGACAAAAGCAGGATTGTCGTGGGTGTATGGTACGTGGAGTAGAAGAAAGCAGTCAACAAATACAGTCAAGGGGAAGGAGAGCTACAGGGCAGGAAGCTAGAGGGGGGTGAGGAGTCGAGTCTTTTCCAAAGATCAAAGAGTTTTGTAACTTTTCCAGTGCTCACCATCACCCATTTTGAAAAAGTTTAGATCTTTCTATCTCTCCTTTTCTTTCTTTCTTTCTTTTTCTCTTTCTCTCTCCCTCTCCCTTCCTTCCTTCCTTTCAACCCTGAGTTTCCTTTCCAGAAGCCAAGGAGTAATTTATGTAACTGGAAACACTTAACATATTACCTTTTTAAATGTTTTTAAAATGAGATGTTAAAAAGTGGGTATGTTCAGGCAAGGGAGCCAGAAGAACCCAGCTGAGAAAGGACTTGGAGCAGGGGTAAGAGAAATGGCTTCCTCTTGGCCTGCTGCCCCACCCCACTGCTCCTGGGGATTGTCCATGGCTGGAAGATGGTTTGTGCATTAGTGTGGATGAGTACATACACTCATCGTCTCTGTCTACCCTCTGCTTGCTAGAATTGAAGCCTGTTTCTCCCACCTCTGGCTTCAGTGGCCATGCAGGCAGCTGGCAGCATCCTTCCTGTAATGACTCCATGCTTGGGCTGTCCTGGCGGGGCCTCCAGCCTGCTCCACCCAGCTGGTGACTGCTTGCCTCTAGAATGTGGCTCACACCACTTCTCCTGCCCACTCCTCACCAAACCAACTCAGTCTTCCAGGTAGACCTCAAAACATAATGTCTTCAGGAGCCCCCTCTTTTCCCCTTCGATTAGTCACCAAGTCAACATGTTGTTCATTTTACATTTCCTGAGGGGTGACTATGAGTCATTCTCATTTCAGTTTATAATAATACTTTGCCTCATTGGCGAAATCATAAGGCACCAGGAGGAATTCTCTACAGCCTCTAGTGGAGTGTTCCACGCACAGTAGGCCCTCAGCTAAGGCTGGTTTGCAGAAGGTGAGGGCGTGAAGTCTGCACTAGACTGTAAGCTCCTCGAGGGTAGGCCTAGTGTCTTGCATCTTTCCACACCCTCTACCACCATCTCCTTAGGACTTTGACTATTTATCCAGTCCACACACGTTTCTTGAGCACCTACTATGTGCCAGAAACTACACTAGGTGAGCTGGGAATTCAGCAGTGAACCAGGCAGATAAGATCCCTTCCTCGTGGAGTTTATATCCTAGACCCAGCCAACAAGGAGACAAACAAACAAACAAAAACAATAGCTACAGGCTGTGGCAAGTGCTTCGAAGGAAATAAACAGAGCTACATAACGAAGAAGGGGCTCGTTGCTACTAAGACCTGAAGGCTCATAAGGAAGGAAGAAGTTGCCTCTCAGCCTTCTCTTCTTATTTAATAGCCCCCACTCCTTTAACTTTTCTTTCAATAAAATATTTATTTAAAGGGATGTAATAAGTGACATGTTATGCATTTTCCTGGTCAATGGCTCCACAAACCACTACCACATCTGATCCCTAACAAATCCTGATCTCTCTAAGGGTTGTGTATCTCCCCTGCGTTATGGGGGTAGCAGCCCTGGGGTCCCCATGGAGGTACAGGGTCCTGCATGACACTGTCCATCTGACTCTATGGGGGTTTGTTTTGCAGGTGAGCCGGCCTCATCCCAGTGATCACCCTCTCCTGATCTTCTTCGTGGTGGGCGGAGTCACAGTCTCAGAAGCCAAAATGATCAAAGACCTTGTGCCATCCCTAAAGCCAGGAACCCAGGTACTGAGTCCTTGGTGAATGAGTCCTGAGACAGGGTTGGGAAGAGTGGGCAAGGACCCTTCATTAGGCTTCCCAGTGCTCCCCATCTCCATCCTGTCTTCCTCCTCCCCCACCTGCTCCTGCCCATGTCACATTCTCCTTCTGCTTGCCCTTCTCCTGGTGGGGGTGGAGGGAGGAGAGCTCTCCTTTCACAGTCCTCTCCTGCCTCTGGGCTTCAAGGGCTAAGTTGCTACTATCCCTGTTCCCGATTCCTGAAGGGCGTATGTTCTCTGGTGTCCCATCAGCGCTTAGTTACTCAAGAGTTTTCACTGGTTTCCAGGCTTCAGATAGGGGACCACCTCCCCTATCTCCCCTCTAACTGTTGCAGTTAGACGACAGAGTTTGGGAGGGGCATTGTCAAGACAATGACAAGCGTAGAATGTTTCTCCTCTACAGCCTCCCGCCAGGTCCCATCTCACTCCCCAAATAAGTGGTTAAGAACACAGACCTCTTGATTTTACAAGCCTGAGTTCGACTCTCACCCCGGCTTTTTACCAGTCAGGTGATCTGGGAGAGAAAAGCCCTCTGTTTTCTCATTTAGGAACCAGGGCTGGGGTGGCTGTGAATCTTAAATCAGATAAGGGGTGAGAATGTGCTTCTCATCACAGTGCCTGGCTACGGTTGTTATAAACCGTTTCTGAGCAGTCAGTACCCTGCTCTGCAGGAGGGACTGAGGCTCCTGGCATGAGGCAGAGGATCCCCAGGAGAGAGCCTTCAGGAAAAGGAGGGCCCCTGTCTCTGGAAGCTCTAACCTGGCTGGGGAAGCAGCAACTCAGTGAGACTAAGAATCCTCGCCTTCGTGGGTTCCCCAAAACAGACCCTGAGACAGGGCGTGACAGCAGGTAGTTTACTTCGGAGAGGATCCCAAGAAGCAGAGGTGAGGGAATCAGAAAAGAGAGACAGTGGAGGGAGAAAAGCCAGAGAAGGGTGCGTTGTTCGGCTAGTTACCACTGTGGGCACCTGAGGGTCTGTCTGCCTCTGGGGTCCCCAAGGAGCCGGGTATTACACGCCTCAGAATTGTCCTGCTGGAGGACAAGGAGCCTGGGACATCCCGTTGCCTCTCACCTAGTCACCTCCTGGTTGAGGTTGCCTCTGGGGGCTTATCTTCAGCTTGTGCCAACTCTGCTTGCCGCTGAGCAGCTTTCTATGGTTTGGAGAAAGGAAAACAGAGACGTGAGTGCGTTGCTTCAGGTAGGACGCTGGCTCGTGTGGGGGGCTATCCACCACAACTACACAGAGCCCAGGTGGTATTCCAGCCCAGGCCTGCTGCCGGGGTGCTGATACCTTGTCTCCCACCTCCACCCGCTACTGGATATGTCCACTTGGCCAGCCAAGGGAGCCTCCATTCTTGCTTTCTGTGAAGTCCTACCTGTTGTTCCAGGCCCTTCCTGCATCTCTGCCGGCATCCAAAATCTGAACTCTACAGTGCAGGGCTAGACTGCTCTCCACCTGCCTCCTATTGCTGGCATAGTCTCCTCCAGCAAACATGAATTCCTTGAGGACAAAGGCTGGGGCTTCCCAGACCTGAGCACATGGCGGGAGCTCCGTAAGCCCTGCGGTCTGATGCTTGATCGGCTGCAGAGCTGGCTTGGTCGTGTTGGAGTGGCCGGGCCACCTGGTGAAGTAGAGATGGCCTGGTCCCTACTGGTCTCCAGACACCCAACTGAGGAATGGGACCCGGTATCTAGGGAGCCACAGTAGGTTCTTGAGCAGAGAAGTGAGCAGTCATTGGCTGTGACCGTTTCTGCTGTGACCATCATCTGTCATGGTCAGAGCTAATGAAATTTCTAATAAAGTGGTAAGTTCTGCCTTATTGAACACCCTCTCTGTCAGCAGTGTTAAATATCTGTTTAGTGAGTGATTATCTTTTTGAGCAAGACTTTTTTTTTTATCAGAAAGCACACTTCTCACTGCCCCTCACGTCGGGAACCAAATTCTTAGCTCTTCAAAACAGTGATGCATTGTAACCGCCTGACAGACATGTTAATCCCCACTCTAAAAGGATAAAACACAGGCGTTTTCAAAGCTGTGTGACCCTGAGTTTGACAACAGAGCCCTGGAATCTACGGTGGCTTTGCTGCAATCTGACCCTGTGCTCAGTCATCTGCGGAGAGAACTTCTCAAAGAATTTTGGGCTTAGGGAGCAGCCTTGACTGCTACTTGTCCTTTGTGCAAAAAGTCCGCCTGAGGAGTTAACAGGCCCTAGGAAGATTCCAAAGAGGAGTGGTTTATCAGAGTGTCCTTCATCTCCAAGATTTTGAAAGGATGTAGATTACCTGGATGTTTGCTGGAGTGACACTGCTGAGGCAGATCTCCTTTCTTAGACCTCAGCAGACTCGCAGCTGCCCTGGCCTGCAGCTAACTGCCCAGGTCTGAGACAGGCCCGGCTTCCTGCTTTGTGCAGTGGAAGTTAGGCCTTGCTGCTCTGGCTACACGCGAAATGGCGTGCACACTGGTTCCATTATCTGCTTAGACTCAGATTTCCGTTGGAGAACACGAGTGAACTAATTGAAGGGAGGGGTTCTGCTGAATCTGTGCAACCACAGACCCTCAAAGACGTGTATGGCAACCAAGAGAGGAACTCTGACTTGATTGTTGATGTAAACAGTGATAATATATGTACCTAATATTTATATCCTGTCTTTAATATCCAGTCTACACTTGCACATCTCCAGTGATGAGGATTTGCCCCTCCCACTGCACCTACTTGAGTGTTAGAGGGCTTCACTGACTACTCTCACCTCTAGACGGGTCCAAATCTGCCTTCTTGGAGCTCTCGCCCATCAGTGCTGGTTCTAGCTCTTGGGCCACACAGAATTTACGTACAAATCAGGTTCTTCCCTCTTCCATATGTCCTTCCCAGGTCTGCTCTTCACACTATCTTCAGTTCCTTCAGCCAGTCCCCTCCCCGCCCACCGCTGACATGGATCTGAGGGCCTGACTGTCACGGTGGCTCTCCTCAGCCCCAATTGTTCTCCTTCTCACACTCAGTTGGAACTGAGTGCCATACCTTGGTGTGGACTGATCAGTGCAGAGGCAGTTGGGGCCACCGCCTCCTCATCCCCACCACGGCCCACCAGACTCCCACGATCTCGCCCTGCCTTTTCCTACCACCCTTCTGCTTGCTTACTCCCCTCCAGCCTCAGGACTTTGCACTTTTTTACTATTTTATTCCCAGAACCTCAAACAGGGTTTGGTGCTGGGTGTCATGATTATTTATTGAATGTCGAATATTGAACACTAGAAACTTTACTTATATTATTGCAGCATAAGATAAAGGTAGCTTTTCTGGAGCCTACACCAACCTGTTGATTCATTCTGAGATTATGGACAACTAAAAACACTCTGTCTTTTGTATCAGTTGCTGTTAATCCATATCTTCTCTAGTCTATATCTACGTGGGTGCTTTTGGGGCCCAAGTACAGGAACTTACAATTGTGGCTATTAAATTGGATGAGATGGTTATTCAGTGAACATTTCTTGAGCACCTACTCTGTGCCAAGCACCGTTCTTTGTGCCAAGGATAGAGTGGTGACCAAGCCAGACACGTTCCTGCTTTCATGTAACTTACATTCTAATAGTGAGTGACTGACTTTAAACATGAAAACTCCAGCCAGAGATAAGTGTACCAAGAACACAGACAGGGGCTGTGGTGGGAATGACTGGAGGGGGAGGTTCCTTCAGATGGCACAGGCTCCTCGTGGTGGAGAAGGCTTGTGGGCTGAGATGTGAAAGGCACTCAGGGATCAGCTCCTCAAAGGAAACTGATAGAATCTATTTAAGGCACATCCAAGAATGAATTCTCTTTCACAAAAAGTGACAAGGATAGCGTGAAACAGTGGAATCCAGAAACCACACTCACACTGGCTAGTCGCATAGGACTGTGGTCAAACTCTAAAATGGGCACCTTTTCTCTGCCATCGGCCCGTGGTTGTTGGTGAATGCACCAAAAGTGGGCAGTTGGAGAATGCTTCTTTCCTGACTACAAAAAAAGGGATCAAAGAGGCAACTCCCCCCACCCCACCCCAAACAGTCACAACCATGAGGTTCTGCAGGCTTCCCCTCGCTCTGGAGGCATGTGCCTGGCACCGGCCTCTGTCTCACTCACGCGCTGCCTGGTGTGGGGCTCCATGCCCAGACAGCTCTGCAGGCTGAATTCTGTAGGTGGGTGGTGGCCAAGAGGCAGCAGAAGCCTGGGATTGTGGGAGGAAAATAACAGGGAGGGACCCTCCCAGAAAAAACGAGGGAAAGGCCAGCTCAGGAAACAGAGGAAAACCAGGTGGGCAAGTTGACCTGCCGTGCACTGCTCTTCATCAGCACGTGCTTGTTGCCCACTCACACTTTCATGTGGGTCTATATTTCTGGTGCTGAATACTTAGTGAGAATGTAATAGGAAAAACAGTAGACCCAGAAATATGCTCATAACGCACACAATTTGGCACAACTTTAGAGGTTCAAGGATACCTAAATCCTGGCTATAAAACCTGGCTCCAGGTTATTCTAAAATTGATGGAAAGCCCCAAGGAGATAAGTCAAGTGAGTTTTTTTTTTCTTTTTTGGTCAAGATTTATTTTATTCTGAAGTTTCTTACTCTAAGGAAAATGTGAATGGGGTTTTTTTACCTGAATTAGCTTAGAGCCTTATAATTAGAAATGGAAACTTTAGAGACAGTAGAGATCACGGTGTTGGATGGCAGTCCACGTTTTCATATTATTCCTGTTAACATCATCCTTCACTCCTATGCATTTCATGGGTCTTTGATATTTGTAGAATCTTCTTAACAACTCTGAAAGCATTTCAATGTAAGGTTTTTGTTCTTGTTGTTGTTTCCCCTCAAGTGACTTCTTTGTAAACAACCCTCAGAAGGGACAAAGGTGAGGAGAGGATCTGAGATCTCACACTTGCAATTCTTCAGGAAAACCTGATATGCACAGCACATCGACCTCAGAGACAATGTAAAAGTGGGTCAAACAGTTCACAATGAGTTTTCCAGAAAGCTCCATCCTGTCCATTTAATTAGCTCACTGTCCCACTGGTTTAACCATACATCCTTTTAGGTTTAACACAGGTGTGTGAATATGTGTGTGTGCATGTGTAGCACCTGTGCAAGTGGGGGTGGGTGGTGCCTGGAATATGATATGTGCTCAAAACCAGTTCATCAAATGGATGAACATGCATGTTGGTGCCTGTGCATATGTGAGTTACTTTTACTGGGAAGAGTCTCCAAGTTTTAAAAAAAAGGGAGAAAAGCAATTTTTCTCCCCTGCTCCTTTCCGTTCACAATGTTAGAAATTCTGCAGAGGGATGTGGAATCTAAATCCTGGACTGCCCTGCTTCCTCCGTGTGCAGCAGAAATAGAACAGGAAGATGCTGGCAACTACAAATTACAGCAGCGGCCTGGAGAAGTGGGAGGAAAGCAAGAGGGCGCGGTCCCTCAAAGCTGGCCGGCTCCTGCAGGAGCTCAGGGCGGGCTGAGGACAGAGACAGCATCCCTCTGCCAGCTGCGGTACACGCCCTGGTGGAGCCCCAAGGGCTGCTTTAGGGGATAGTTCAGAGGCTCTCGAGGACTCTGTGTCCTCTGTCCCTGTCTCACAGGTGGAAATTTTCATCAGGGACCTCGGTTGCTGGGGAAAAAGCCAGTTCTCCAAATGGAATTCTCTAAAGCTCAATTTGCCTAATATTTCACATTTGATGACTATTTATAAAATTTAAATTTCATATCTGACAGGCCAATTTCAGACTCTTTTAAGCATTTTTTTTTTTTTTTCGTTTTCGAGTGCCTTTTCTTCTCCCATTTGGCTAATTTTTTAGAATTGTAAGGCTTATTTTAATCAAATAATGCAGAAATCCCCTTAGTTGAATGGACTAAAGAACTCTGAAAATGTTCAAAAGCAGTCTGATGACCAAAAGATGCCTAAGAGGTGGAAATGCTCAAGGAGCATCAACTATGATACTGCAGGCGAATGGTAGCAGGGCGATCCTGCTTGTTCTTCAGAATAGGAATTTTAGACAAATAGATTTTTAGTTGAATTGGTTTGAAACAAATTTACCCAGAGCCATTTGAGCTATCATTTACTAGAGCCTTCGATGTGAAAAACTTCCTGCGGACCACTGCTAAACTCACTGCCTCCTTCATTGTCATGTTGTTTCGTTCATTCATTTAATCATTCACTAACTCAGTGCATCAAGGACGTGCTGTGTATCAGGCGCTGTGCTAAGAAACAACGAAAAGACTCAGTTAAAGAAAGAAGGAATACAGTGTGAAACCAACAGCCACGGGAACACACTTAGGCTTCAGGGAGGGGGGTCTGGGAAGGCTTCCTGGAAGTGGTGCTGCCTGGGCAAATTGTTGAAGGACGACTGAGAGATCTTTAGGCAAAGAGTGGAGCAACTCATGTTCCAGATAAAGAAGCATCCCTAAAGTTCCAGTTGTGAAAGTGCAAATAGTTTCGGGTGGTTGGAATGTGGAACTGATGGTGAAGGGGGTGGGGTGGCAAGGGGGTGGAGTGTGGAGTGCTGAGCAGCCATCAGATTCGAAAGTCCTGGAATGCTTCTAAGAGGCTGGGCTTATCAAAGAGCAGAGAGGAGAAGGTCAGGATTTTAAGCCGATGAGTAAAACAATCAGGTTTATCCTTGGGGAAGATGGCCCTGGCAACTCTACCTCCACTGCATTGGCCCCAGGGACGGAACAGAGGGAATGCAGCGGAGGATGAAAATGGTAAGTATGGTGATGATGATGAAAACGATAACAGGAGGTACCATTTTAAGCCCCTCTAGAGCCTGTCTTTGTGCTAGATATTTTCATGTATGTTCACATTTGATCTTCATAATAATCATGTGAGGTGGATATCACTCTTCCCACTTTACAGATGAAGAAATTGAGGCTCAGGGTGATTAAGCAACTTCTGTAGGGTCATCTGTTGGGCAAGTGGCCCAGCTGGGGTCCAACTCAGATTGGATACTCCTAAGCCTGTGCTCTTAATCACTATACCATCCGGTAAGCATCCTTGGTCTCAGCTTTCTCCCCTCCTCAAAGACCCACTGGTTTACTTCACAAACTGCCTTTGTTTTCCATCTGTTTCTTTTCAGCCCTCCACAGAGCAGGCCTCAGACACCCTCTGGTTCAGCCCTCGTGCTGTCTGCATACTTGCTTGGCTAGCTGTGAGAGGCCTGGTCCTGGGTTCCAGCTCAGTGGAGGTGACCGAACCCACAGTGTCTGTCAGCCTTGGCTGGAAGCCCAACACACAACCTGGGAGTGATGGATTCTTTAGGCTTGGTTACTGTCGACATCAACTGAGTCTATAGCCTTTCTCTCCAAGTTCCGCAATCCTGCCACTGAGACAAGCATCCTGGGAAACTCAATCTAGCCCTTACACTTCCCCTCACCTCAGCCAGAGAGGAATCCGCCATCTTGGCATTGGAACTAAGGACCACAGGGGCTGGCAGGGGTGGAGGGGACTGGCAAGTCACGAGGACAGGAGAGCAACCTTTGGCACATTAGCTACACTGGCCTCTACTACCTCATGTGAGTCTACCACCAGAGAATGTGCAAAGAATTTTTGTCTTTATGTGTGCATTTTTTAAATTTCTTAACACAAGTTTCTTAACTTCTGTTCTATGAATCCTCATTGTCCATGAACCTCACCTAAAACTATATTCAAAATCTTGTTTATATGAACATATGTATATTTTTCCAGGGAGTTCTTAGCTTTCATAAGATTCAAAGGGGGGCTTATGACCTGATCACAAAACCACAATAAAATAGCAGTTCACAGTTGCTGAGTACCTCCTGTGCTCTACGCCCTTGACCTTATGTCATCCTTGCCACAACGCTCCCAGCTCTGGGCTGTTGTTTTCCTTCTGGGACAGATAGAGCGAGGCTCCGAGTGAAGTGACTTTCCTCAGGGCACGTAGCCAAACAGAGGTGGAGCTAGGCTCTATGGTGGTCTGATGAGTGAGCTGGCCTGGGAGCCCCCATTCTTAACCTGTTAGGCTTGGTGTGCAAGGCCCTGAGGAGTGAGCAGAGACCCTCTCCAGAGCCATATATTCAAGTGGTGTCTACACCATGTGTGTGGATGATCAGGGGATGCTCATATTTACTCACTGCCCCCAAACTCTCATCACATGGCTTTCAAGGAGAAATGTGAGTACAGACTTCAGTGTATTTTTTTCTGCCAAAAATATGATTTGGCTGACATTAGCCATATGTTTTTTAAGATAATTCTCTTTCAAGAAAAAGTAAAATAGTGCTTTCAAAGACTAATTTTTGTTTTAAACAGAAAACTTTTTAATAACCCTCATTTCTTTAACAAAAACCACAAGAAAATTATAAAACGCTTCCTTCTCTCCTCCCTTTCCTTGACTTCAGCCCCATCTGGTTTTCCTCCACATTAGAGTGTAGACTCTGTTTTTGACCAGTAAGCTAGGAAATAGGAGTTGGTTAGTTCATTGGTTTGGTTACACCTGGAAAAACTTTGGAGGGCGGTGGGGGAGATGGTGACATGTGCGGTGCCAACGTGCACACTCCCAAGAGGACAGCCAGGTGGTGTGGCCAGGGGGAGCTCCGTCCTGCTACCGGCCTTGCTACCCCTTCACTCAGGTGTTGGGCTGTGGGGTTCTGACTCCAGTACCTCCTCTCCCATTTTCCATAGGCACCTCCTCATCTAGTGGGTGGACAATACCCACCTGTGCCAAACCTCACCAGCCTTAACAAGGCACCTCCCTGCCCCAGCCCGGCTCCAGGGAACAAGCTCTCCCAGTGCTGCCAAGAGAAATCTGCCCCAGAGGAAAGGTCTAGACTGCGGGAAGTGGGAAGGGTCACCATAAGGACAGGCCAGAGAGGCCCAAAGGTCCATCTGGACTAGGGGAGTAAAGCAGCCTTGCCCAGAGCCCTTGACGATAGAGAAGTGACCGGACAGGTGCTTGGACACTGAAGCCAGCCTGCCTGCGTTGGATTCCTGACTCAACTACTTCCTGTGTGTCCTTGGACAAGTTACTTAACCTTTCTGTACTTTATTTTCCTTATCTGCAAAATAGGAATAATATACATACCTATTTCATAGGGTTGTTATGAAGATTAAATGAGATCATCCTCAGTGCCTGACACATCATAAGAACTAATAAATATTAGCTGATGTCATCATTATTATCATCTTTGTTATGGGTTGAACTGTGTCCCCCTCCCAAAAGATGTTGAAGTTCAAACCTCTAGTACCTGTGAATGTGACCTTTGGGTCTTTCAGATCATCAAATTAAGATGAAGTCATTAGAGTGAGCTCTAATCCAACATGACTGTGTCCTTATAAAAAGGAGAAATTTGGACGCAGAGACAGACACACATAGAGGAAAGACAACGTGAAGCTAAGAGGGAAGCATGGAACAGATCCTCCCTCACAGCCCTTAGAAGGAACCAACCCTGCCAACACCTGATCTTAGACTTCTGGCCTCCAGAAGTATGAGACAATAAATTTCTGTTATTTAAGCCACCCAGTTTTGGGATCTAGGAAATTAACACAATCATCATCATTACCACCCACAACAACATCCACCTCTTGGGTGTGCCTTCTCATGCTCCCTGAAGGCAAAGGCTCCCTAGAGGAGGGAGAAACCTCTATATTGAGGTCAGATTACTGGACGGCAAAGCGACGGTCTGATCAAATTCAATTCAGCAGCGAGGTGGTGGCTGGGCTCGGGCCATGCTCAGTGCCCATTGGTTAAAGGTTCAGGAGACACACCCCTGCTGTCCCCCAGGCCATCCCAGACTGTGAGCCCCTCCTCCCACCTAGGGCACTAGCATGGATGGCATTCAAGCTGCCGCCTTCTGCCTTCTTCTCCACAGTGCCGCACTCCATGCCTCCCCCCAAAGAAACTGTTGCATTTTATTTCTCATCATCTAATAACCTGAAATTGGCTTCCCTAATTGTCTGTGGTGTGTTTGCCCCCTCCTGTTGTTAGGTCATTGTGCTGTCCACACGACTCCTGAAGCCACTTAACATTCCTGAGCTGTTATTTGCAACTGACCGGCTGCATCCAGACCTGGGCTTCTGAGCATCTGCTAAGGTGAGACCTACCTGAGCTGGAAATACCCATACTCTTGTCTGTCACCATGCAAGATATGCCTCGAAAGCCAGCGTCCCTGTTCCCAGTTGTGGGTATGACTGAATTCTGCCGGAAGGGTCTTGATAACCACACAGCAAAGTACTTTGCTTGGATTGCCGCGCTTCTTAAAAAAAAATTTTCTTTCATTTTTCCTAAAGGTGTCAAACTGCCTTTCAGTTGGCCTAATTCATGATAATTCCCATTTATCCTTAACTCTCTGTGATCTTCCTGATTCCACCTGCAAGTTCATTAATTATAAATAAATGCCCATTGGCGTGTGTTACAAGCCGCTTGATCTGCAGTTGCTCAAGAAGAAGCTAGACGTGCTTTAGAATTGTGAGTGTGAGGAAAGTTTGGTTTTTCTTAAGATTATATAACTGAGGAGGGAACATTGCAAATAGGATCTGAGGCTTTGTTTCTCTCTTGATCAGAGACATTTCTGGAAAGCGAGGCCGGGAGGGATGGCGGCTAGAGCAGTGCGGGCCGGCTGCCTGCATTGTAAGTTGGCCGCCACAACAAAGGCTGCATTGTTCCAGCTTGCACCCGGCAGGGCCGCCAGAGTGCTTGGGACAGTGGTGGGAGAGAGGTTGATTGGAGGGCTGTCTCTGCCTGTAAGAGGTTTCCTTCCCTTCCAAAGGAAGGCCCAAGAAAGTGATCTGGTCCCAGGGAGGCTAGATAGGAACCCCAACCCCTGTGACTTTTGTGACTTAGCATTTCTATTGAAATATAAAGCTTTCTTTTCTGTAAATCTAGCTTTTCCTCCTGGCCATAGCAGGAAAACCTGGATTCACCTAGTGAAATTATATAAGAACTCGGGCAAAAATTCACTGCTTGGAGCCCACACGTTTGTAGGTGTATGATTGATGGAAATCTCTAGCATCTCTAAAAGATGTTTGTAATAAAGAGATAAAGCTGAAAAACAATTTCTAGTGTGGATTAAAAAGGTAGAGAAAATAAAATGTAAACCAAAACACTGACATGTCTCTGATTTTAGTCATTTCATGAAACACTGTCATTTTATGAAACACCGTGAACTTGGAAGTCATTCTGAGGCATAATCAAAGCAGGTGTTTTACACACCGATATTCTTTTTTTTTGTCCAAGTATGTTTTCCACCTAACACCAGCTCTTTCATGGTGCTGAAATACTGGAGACCTCAGATGCTTCTTTCATTCCACTCTTCTAGAAGTTTGAATTTGAATAAGGAAGAAAATGACAATAGTCTGAAAGAAATGATGATTAAAGCAGACCACTATTTTCTAAAATAAAATAAAGTGCCCTGTTATGTGTCTCGAGTCTGCATTCATTCAATCATTCATTCATTCCCAAATATTGAGTGGCACGTTCCAGGGACTCTTCTAGGTTCCGGGCCACAGTGTGAGCAAGCCAGACGTGTCCTGACTCCACTGCTCTCCCAGAAGGAGCACCTGGGGCTTCTCTGATGCTCAGGCCCTGTGTGAGTATCCGCTCAAGGTTAAGTTTTAAACCATATGTCTACATGCAAAGGAAATCTTCTGGAAGTGTAAAAACCAAACTGCTAACAAGTGGTTTCCTCTGGGAAGGAGTATAGAATGGAAAGAAAATGGGGGGGGAGGGTCTCCCTCTTGATATACTTCTGTTTGAATTTTTTTCACAGCAAACATATATTTGTGTATTCCTTTTGTGGCCTTAATGTATTTTTTACAAGTTAATTTTTTCTTTTAAAAAAGAATATTCAAAAACTTTTAATCGGAAATGATAAAGGAAGTTCCTGATTGTAAATGTTATCACAAAGCAGTTACTATGTCTCGAAAATGCTCCCAACGCAGTCATGTGCCGCATAATGACGTTTCGATCATCAGCAGACCACATATACAACAGTAGTCCCATAAGATTAGTACCATAGAGCCTAGGTGTGTAGTAGGCTATACCACCTAGGTGTGTATAAGTGCACTCTATGATGTTCGCACAATGACGAAATCGCCTAAGGATGCATTTTTCAGAACGTATCCCCGTCGTTAAGTGATGCATGACTGTACTATGTTAAATATGGCCAAAGGCAGTCTCTGGGTGGTGGGGGGAAATGTCAAAAGTTTGGTTTATAATCGTCTTTTTCCATCTCTGTGGTCCCTGATTGAGGAACTGAGCTAGGCAGGCAATCAGGTGGTAGAAGGCTTTGGAGAAAAGGTGAGCTGGGAGAAGTTTGTGGGGACCAGAGTTTGGTTTGACTAAGAAGGTAGGAGGCACAGGACAGAGCTCTGTTCCTTGAATTAAAAGCAGGAGCATAATGGAAACATGGTATAAATCCTGCAAGGGCCCTCACCAGACAAGGAAAAAGAGGGGCTCAGGAAATGGCACGTTGGCCCTTTGGCAGAGCCTCCTGAGACCTCTTGGGTACTGCCACCTCCTTGTGCTCATTGCCCCGGGCTGGGAGGGGATGGTGGAGAAACGGATCACACTTCTGCCCCCTGCAAAGGAGCAGCGGTCTGAACAGAGCTCCAAAGACTTCCTTGGGTTTACATCTCAGCTCTGCCGCTCCCAGCAGCGTGGCTCTCTGCAAGGCTCCGTGCCACCATCTGTAAATAGAGATAATAAGGAATGGTACCCACCTCATGAGAGAGTTGCTGTGGAGGGAAGCCATCCCTAACACAGCAGCCAGCACATGACACCAAAGAAGGTGGGTTTTTACTGCTGAGGACACCAAGGAAGTCACCTCACAAAACTATAAAGTCTCAACAGGAGAATAATCTCAAATGAACAGAAAATACGGAGGCCTTCCTGGGGTCCACAAGGAGATGAGAGAATGGGAGAGGAATAACACTGTGGTCCCACATATTTCCAAGACAGAGGCCAGGAGTAGTATCTGGAACCCTATCTGATGGCTTGGGTTCCAATCCCACCTCATCCACACAGTTGTTCATTTTTCCCAGTCTCAGTTGACTATGAAATTGGACGATAGGACCAGTAGGCATTGAGTTGTGAGAATTAAGAGTTAATACGTGTGAAGCACTTAGAATGTGGCACATGGCAAGCTAAGAGCATATAACAATCACCTTTATTGGTAGTAAATGTCTAATGATTATGCATGCAGGGCCCTTTGTCTCTGATAGAACTTTCTCCATCAATAATATTAATCACTAAGTAGTTGTGTGCATTCTGAGACTGACACCCTGACTTACCATTTGGACCTCATCCAAATGTACCAATTCTAAAGGGATTCTCCCCCTACCAGATGTCAGCCACCTGAAGGTGGCTTAAAAGGCTGAGCTGAGGGGCCAGCCCAGTGGCGCAGCGGTTAAGTGCGCGCGCTCTGCTTTGGCGGCCCAGGGTTCGCAGGTTCAGATCCCAGGCACGCACTGATGCACCGCTTGTCAAGCCATGCTGTGGCGGCGTCCCATATAAAGTAGAGGAAGATGGGCACAGATGTTAGCCCAGGGCCAATCTTCCTCAGCAAAGAGGGGAGGATTGGCATCGAATGTTAGCTCAGGGCTGATCTTCCTCACAAAAAAAAAAAAAAAAAAGGCTGAGCTGAGTGGCGATGCTGGTTTCTCTTCTGTGGGGCCTGAGTCTGAGTGTTTACCACCTAAATTGGCTGGCCTGAGCCAAAACAAGCACATGCAAATGCAAACCTTCTGCCAAGGACTTCACAGGCCACTCTTCATAAACACAATTGATGGAGGTGTAAATACTTTGTAGCAATTGACTTCTGCCTTTGTAAACCCTCTTTCTGCAGTTCACTTCCCGGGAAACATAGCGGGCACAGCAAAGCGTTTGCAAGTGCTGGGGAGCTGCATCAGCCAAGGGTTGTCCCCAGAGGGCCAGGGCCTATGGAAATGGCTCTGTTTATACCACGACCCCCATTACAATGTTATCCCAGTAACGACGAATTCCATCAGGCTCCCCCCAAGACCACTATTATTTATTTTACCCTGCTTACCAGAAACAGAATCTCAACAACAAATAATCCAGTATTACAAATGTTGTCTGCAGTGCCTGCCCAAGAAACATTAAGAAACTCCCTCTCTATTTTAAAAGGAATTTAAAAAGACAAAACCAGATGATGGAGGGTATTTGAGAAGGGAGCATGGGAGGTGGTGGCTGGAATCTTGCCACGATCAGTAACAACCCTAATCTTGTTCTCTTCTCACCAAATTAGGAGAGTAATGAGGACAGCAAGAACTTTCTGGAAGCTTCTTTTTTTAGATTCTAAAGGAGTGAAGAAAACAGCAGTTTTCCTGGGTTGCTTAATATAATAAAGCCCTATAATTCCTTCTGGGCCATTACGGAAGGCCCCGTCCTGACTTTTCGGCAGCCCCCATTTCCCCACCGGAGCAGAGGCAGAACCAGGAGATACCCGACTGCTCCTTTGTGAGGGGTTTGCCCACAAGCTTGTTTATTCATCCAGAAAACACATTTGTTTTCTTTCTCAGGGTGTAGGATGAATGTCAAAATCCGATTTTTCACCAGAACGAGGGGCTCACTATGAATACTCCCATAGCCCCTAAACCTGGGGCTCAGGCTGGCTGGGCCGGCGATGCGCTGATGGGCGCCGTGTGATCGCCAGCGGGGCAAGGAGCCCGGGGGCCGGGACGGGTTAGCCATGTCGGCACACAGCACAGCGCGAGCAGGCTGCAGAGTGTGCCGGATGGTTTTGATTTGTGGCAGGGAGGAAACTCGAAAGCCAGACATCACAACAGACAAGGATCCGGTTCTGGGGCAGACGGGCTGGGGCTGTGCTGGGCCCCCGCCCCTGCCTGGACATCTTTATTACTGAGCTGGGACTAGAGGCCAGTGAGCAGCCAGCTGATGGCAACAGCAGATGTGGCCCTGGCAGCCAGGAGGGCCTGGGGCCAAGGAGGAGCCACAAGCCCACCATAGCAACAGGGAGATTGAGGAAAGCAGGACAGGGAACAGGGGCCAGGGCAGGGAGGGCCAAATGACAAGAGGAGCGCTCCAGGGGGGTGCTTTGCTTGGAGGAGGCAGTGCTGGGAAGCGGTGGGCCAGCTGCCCGGGGTTTAGGCTGTGGCATCAGACAAGACCTGGGTGTAGGGCTGAACTGCCTCTTAGAAGCTGGACCAGCCGCTTAATTCTTCTGAGCCTCCTTTCTCCGTATCTGTAGAAGGGACTAAAGATGGATTGTGAGGTTGGTGTGGAGAAAGCAAATTATTTCAAATGTCTCATACAATGCCCAGCACATAGGTTTTCCATCAACAGAAACAGCATTTGTTACTACCTGTGTGGCCCTAAGCAGGTAATTTAATCTCTCTGAGCTTCAGTTTTCTCATCTTTAAAATGGAAGTGGCATTATTACTTCCTCAGAGGATTCTTCAAAAGATCAAAGATCATTTATAATCTGGCACACTAAATGCTCACTAAATTCTAATTCCTCTCCTTTCCCCACTCCCTTGCCCCCTCCCCTGCATCCCTCCCTTCCCTTACCCAGGTGGCAGAGGAGGGGTCCCCTGCCTAGGTGGAAGAGGGCTGTTCCTCAGTGCCATATGGTTGTAGTTCAGAAATTTAAACACAAACAGGGGTCAAGAGATACTAATAATGAAAGAGATGAGCGAAGACATGAAACATGAAACTAAATTCATGAGAAGAGAAGAAAACATGGTGTATTCTAGAACTATAAATAAGTCAGCCTGAGACAGCAGACAGAACTGGGACTTGGGTGGTTTCCAGCTGGGACTCGCTTTCCCAGAGTGGACTTGAACAAATCGCTTTATCCCCTGGGATGGGCTAGAGCTCTGAGACCCCTTCCAGCCCAAACTTCTAAGGAGAAGTATGAGAAACTGAAGCCAGTACAGTGGGGAAGTGAGGGGCAACCTGAGGTGCCAGCAGGTCAGGAAGGGTGGCTCGCAAGGGGGTAGGCGAGGCCTGCAGACTTTGAGCAGGTGGGAAGAAGAGGGGAGGCAGCAGTGTGCTGGGAATAAATGGGAGCTCTGCTCAGCACCTTGGCAAGATAAAGCCCCCAGGAAAACTCATCTTCTTTAATT